CTTATTTTGATGCCAATCGATAGAACTGATCCTTACGAGTCAAAAATGGTATAAAATTCCTAATCGGACATTATTTGATCGAAATATTCCAAAATATCATCAACAATGTTGACTTAACGAACGAATCGGTTTTTTGTCAACAACATTTTTCAACCCATCGATGATTAATTTGTTTGAATGCCAATTGATGGTAGGGATCCGTACGCATTCAAAAAGGTATAACATTTTAAAATCAGACATAATTTATCCGAGATATTAAAAAATATCATCGAAAAAGTTTAGATTTTCGCAAAAAAAAACGTGGGGATTTGGAAGGTCATATCTCCACGCGGAGCTATGTCGTTTTGGAACGTCATATCTCCGCGCGGAGTTATGTCGTTTTGGAACGTCATATCTCCGCGCGGAGCTATTACCCGGATATTAAAAGAAATCATCGAAAAAGTTCGATTTTCGCATCGACCTCGATTTTGAGAAAAAAGTGATACCTTATCAGACATTATTTATCCGAGATATTAAAAAAATCATCGAAAAAGTTTAGATTTTCGAAAAAAAACGTGGTGATTTGGAAGGTCATATCTCCGCGGAGTTCCGTCGTTTTGGAACGTCATATTTCCTCGCGGAGTTCCGTCGTTTTGGAACGTCATATCTCCGCGCGGAGCTATTACCCGAGATATTAAAAAAATCCTAGATAAAGTTCGATTTTCGCATCGACCTCGATTTTGAAAAAAAAAAACGTGATGTAACCCTTTGCCATTTTGTCGATTTGGGTCAAAATTTTGGATTTCCTTATTTTGATGCCAATCGATAGAACTGATCCTTACGAGTCAAAAATGGTATAAAATTCCTAATCGGACATTATTTGATCGAAATATTCCAAAATATCATCAACAATGTTGACTTAACGAACGAATCGGTTTTTTGTCAACAACATTTTTCAACCTATCGATGATTAATTTGTTAGAATGCCAATTGATGGTAGGGATCCGTACGCATTCAAATAGGTATAACATTTTAAAATCAGACATAATTTATCCGAGATATTAAAAAATATCATCGAAAAAGTTTAGATTTTCGCAAAAAAAAACGTGGGGATTTGGAAGGTCATATCTCCGCGGGGAGTTATGTCGTTTTGGAACGTCATATCTCCGCGGGGAGTTATGTCGTTTTGGAACGTCATATCTCCACGCGGAGCTATGTCGTTTTGGAACGTCATATCTCCGCGCGGAGTTATGTCGTTTTGGAACGTCATATCTCCGCGCGGAGCTATTACCCGGATATTAAAAAAAATCATCGAAAAAGTTCGATTTTCGCATCGACCTCGATTTTGAGATAAAAGTTATGTTTAGTTAATCAGACATTATTTATCCGAGATATTAAAAAAAATCATCGAAAAAGTTTAGATTTTCGCAAAAAAACGTGGTGATTTGGAAGGTCATATCTCCGCGGGGAGTTATGTCGTTTTGGAACGTCATATCTCCGCGCGGAGTTATGTCGTTTTGGAACGTCATATCTCCGCGGGGAATTATGTCGTTTTGGAACGTCATATCTCCGCGCGGAGTTATGTCGTTTTGGAACGTCATATCTCCGCGCGGAGCTATTACCCGAGATATTAAAAAAAATCATCGAAAAATTTCGATTTTCGCATCGACCTCGATTTTGAAAAAAAAACGTGATTTGGGTCAAAATTTTGGATTTCCTTATTTTTGATGCCAATCGATAGAACTGATCTTTTCGAGCCAAAAAAGGTATAAAATTCCTAAATCGGACATTATTTGACCGAAATATTCCAAAATATCATCAACAAGGTTGACATTACGAACGAATCGGTTTTTTGTCAACAACATTTTTCAACCCATCGATGATTAATTTGTTTGAATGCCAATTGATGGTAGGGATCCGTACGAATTCAAAAAGGCATAACATTTTAAAATCAGACATTATTTATCCGAGATATTAAAAAAAATCATCGAAAAAGTTTAGATTTTCGCAAAAAAAAACGTGGTGATTTGGAAGGTCATATCTCCGCGGGGAGTTATGTCGTTTTGGAACGTCATATCTCCGCGGGGAGTTATGTCGTTTTGGAACGTCATATCTCCGCGGGGAATTATGTCGTTTTGGAATGTCATATCTCCGCGCGGAGTTATGTCGTTTTGGAACGTCATATCTCCGCGCGGAGCTATTACCCGAGATATTAAAAAAAATCATCGAAAAAGTTCGATTTTCGCATCGACCTCGATTTTGAAAAAAAACGTGATGTTTAGTTAATCAGACATTATTTATCCGAGATATTAAAAAAAATCATCGAAAAGTTTAGATTTTCGCAGAAAAACGTGGTGATTTGGAAGATCATATCTCCGCGGGGAGTTATGTCGTTTTGGAACGTCATATCTCCGCGGGGAGTTATGTCGTTTTGGAACGTTATATCTCCGCGGGGAGTTCCGTCGTTTTGGAACGTCATATCTCCGCGCGGAGCTATTACCCGAGATATTAAAAAAAATCATAGAAAAAGTTCGATTTTCGCATCGACCTCGATTTTGAAAAAAAAAACGTGATGTTTAGTTAATCAGAAATTATTTATCCGAGATATTAAAAAAAATCATCGAAAAGTTTAGATTTTCGCAAAAAAACGTGGTGATTTGGAATGTCATATCTCCGCGGGGAGTTATGTCGTTTTGGAACGTCATATCTCCCAGGGGAGTTATGTCGTTTTGGAACGTCATATCTCCGAGGGGAGTTATGTCGTTTTGGAACGTCATATCTCCGCGGGGAGTTATGTCGTTTTGGAACGTCATATCTCCGCGGGGAGTTATGTCGTTTTGGAACGTCATATCTCCGCGCGGAGCTATTACCCGAGATATTAAAAAAAATCATAGAAAAAGTTCGATTTTCGCATCGACCTCGATTTTGAAAAAAAAGTGATTTTTAGTTAATCAGACTTTAGTTGTCCGAGATATTAAAAAAAACCATCGAAAAAGTTTAGATTTTCGCAAAAAAACGTGGTGATTTGGAATGTCATATCTTCGCGGGGAGTTATGTCGTTTTGGAACGTCATATCTCCGCGGGGAGTTATGTCGTTTTGAAACGTCATATCTTCGCGCGTAGTTATGTCGTTTTGGAACGTCATATCTCCGCGCGGAGTTATGTCGTTTTGGAACGTCATATCTCCTCGCGGAGTTATGTCGTTTTGGAACGTCATATCTCCGCGCGGAGTTATGTCGTTTTGGAACGTCATATCTCCGCGCGGAGCTATGTCGTTTTGGAACGTCATATCTCCTCGCGGAGTTATGTCGTTTTGGAACGTCATATCTCCTCGCGGAGTTATGTCGTTTTGGAACGTCATATCTCCTCGCGGAGTTATGTCGTTTTGGAACGTCATATCTCCGCGGGGAGTTATGTCGTTTTGGAACGTCATATCTCCGCGCGGAGTTATGTCGTTTTGGAACGTCATATCTCCGCGCGGAGCTATTACCCGAGATATTAAAAAAATCATCGAAAAAGTTTAGATTTTCGCAAAACGTGGTGATTTGGAAGGTCATATCTCCGCGGGGAGTTATGTCGTTTTGGAACGTCATATCTCCGCGCTGAGCTATTACCCGAGATATTAAAAAAAATCATCGAAAAAGTTCGATTTCGCATCTACCTCGATTTTGAAAAAAAAAAAAAAACGTGATGTAACCCCTTGCCATTATGTCGATTTGGGTCAAAATTTTGGATTTCCTTTTTTTTGTTGCCAGTCGATAGAACTGATCCTTACGAATGAGAAATGGTATAAAATTCCTAATTCGGACATTATTTGATCGAAATATTCCAAAATATCATCAACAAGGTTGACATTACGAACGAATCGGTTTTTGTCAACAACATTTTTCAACCCATCGATGATTAATTTGTTTGAATGCCAATTGATGGTAGGGATCCGTACGCATTCAAAAAGGTATAACATTTTAAAATCAGACATTATTTATCAGAGATAAAAAAAAAAAATCATCGAAAAAGTTTAGATTTTCGCAAAAAAAACGTGGTGATTTGGAAGGTCATATCTCCGCGGGGAGTTATGTCGTTTTGGAACGTCATATCTCCGCGCGGAGTTATGTCGTTTTGGAGCGTCATATCTCCGCGCGGAGTTATGTCGTTTTGGAACGTCATATCTCCGCGCGGAGTTATGTCGTTTTGGAACGTCATATCTCCTCGCGGAGTTATGTCGTTTTGGAGCGTCATATCTCCGCGCGGAGTTATGTCGTTTTGGAACGTCATATCTCCGCGCGGAGTTATGTCGTTTTGGAGCGTCATATCTCCGCGCGGAGTTATGTCGTTTTGGAACGTCATATCTCCGCGCGGAGTTATGTCGTTTTGGAACGTCATATCTCCGCGCGGAGTTATGTCGTTTTGGAACGTCATATCTCCTCGCGAAGTTATGTCGTTTTGGAACGTCATATCTCCGCGCGGAGTTATGTCGTTTCGGAACGTCATATCTCCTCGCGGAGTTATGTCGTTTTGGAACGTCATATCTCCGCGGGGAGCTTTGTCGTTTTGGAACGTCATATCTCCGCGCGGAGTTATGTCGTTTTGGAACGTCATATCTCCGCGCGGAGCTATTACCCGAGATATTAAAAAAATCATCGAAAAAGTTTCGATTTTCGCATCGACCTCGATTTTGAAAAAAAAAAAACGTGATGTAACCCCTTGCCTTTCTGTCGATTTGGGTAAAAATTTTGAATGAAGCACTTATGATAAAAAAGGAACTTAAATAGCATTACAGAAAAAAGTCGCAATAACCATGCTGTTAAAATGAAGAATTGTTTTCGTTCAATTGACTCTGCTGATCCCACCATAATATTATGTAGAGCTTGTTGATAATACCAACAGTAGTTAATTAATTTAGTTTAGTTTATAAATGTATTCGGTTGATTTGCATAGCATAGCATATGTATAATTTATCTAAACCAAATTCCAGAAGGTACTTAAAGTATACATTTTTTTGCTTTCTCTGATGCTTGCAGATGTGGAAGAGTTGTCCACGAAGCTGATGGCCAAGCTGGCCGAGGTGCAGAGTCTGGATGGTGGCACCTTCTTCATAGGCAATGCGGATGCGCTGCGCGGTCTGCCCGCCTCGGCAATGACGTCGGCGTCGGCGTCAGCGTCAGCTGCACAGTCGGGCATCTTTCAGCCGCAACATGTGCTGCTGCCTGGTAAGTGTGTCAAAGGTCAAACCACTTGAGATCGTTCCAGCCCAATATGATGCGCCTGGCAGGGGGCTGGCTCGGGCTGGAACTTTACTGGGACTGGACCTGGGCAGGGCAGGCGCTGCGGGATGGCATTCCACAGACGAAAGAATTTTTTTTTTGCTACGTTTTATTTTTTTGTTTTTTTTTTTTTTGCGCCTTTTTGGTCAAGGCGTTTGCCAATTTGCATTTAAATTGGCCATTGAGCCCGTGGGCGGCGGACTCTTGGCGGCGACAATAGCCGCTTAATGGGCCCATCCAATGCGATCGCAATTGATTCCATGGCAAATGCAAATGAGAACGCGCCCGCACTGAATTTTAATACAATGGGGCCTACGGCTGTCACTCAGTTTTGACAGCCACGCTTGTGGGCTACACAGCTCATGCAAACATGCACCAATCTCTCTGCATTGCTCTATCTCTCTCTCTCTCTCTCTCTCTCTCTCTAATTCTCTCTCGTTTTTTTTTCTCCTTCTCTAGTGGAAAAGCATGCGAAGCATCACGAGCGACGCATTCTGAAAACCCTGCAACCGGGCAACGTCTACATCGAGGAGAGCAACGGATTAGGAGCTGGTGTCTTTGCCGGCTCGAAGGGCTGATGCTGCAGCCTGGCCAGCAGCTTGTTGGGAACTACTTAAGTGTACGTTGTCGTCTAGTACAACAGCAACAACAGCAATAACAGCAACAACAGCAACAACAGCAGCAACAACAACAGCAACTACAATTTTGTACAAAGAGAACGCTGAGGGAGCTCGAGAACTTGCAAAATTTTGATAATTATCTACGTGTACGATTAATATATATTTGCCTGATATTTAATTTAAATGTTATGTTGACTTGTTTGTAATGCAAAGGCACAGCAATTAATTAATATTCTTAATTATTAATTAATCAACACGTTCATGCTGGCAAATAGTTGTATCAAACGGCTTGCACAAGCATTTGTTTATGAATTCGAGTTAGTCTAAATTGGAAATTTGTGCAAACTTTTTCAAAAGCCTTTTGTCAACACTCACAAAAGACTTTTCGTGAAATAGCTGGACTAAATTAGAGATTTGCTTCAAACGTAAATATTTTGGGCCGACTGTCTGCAAAACTTTTCTCAAAACTCAAGGAACTCCATAAAATCTGGAATATATGTAGAGATACTCGAACTTGATTTTCTATTCGGAGCTGTTTGCCCAAACCATTTGCCACACTGAGCGTTACATTAATTCTATATGCGGAATTGGTAAATTGTTTTTGTATATATAAAAGGGAGTTTTTTTTTTTTTTTTTTTTGAGCAAGAGTGTGAAAAATGGTGAGAGTGAAGAGTTACAAACTATGAATGCATTATAATAGAAGCCCATCTAAATATGATTAACAAATTTCTACTTAATGTAAATATTAAGGCGAGCGAACTGGACGAGTGCTACAGAACCAAGCAATATCGGCAGCATATCAGCTACTATATCTTACTATATAGTCATATATGTGCATATTGTATATCATGCATAATATCGTTCACCCATAGCCCATACACACACTTACACACACACACATGCATACGATTATATAAATATATATATTTATGTGTAGGCGTATTTGAGAAAATATTTAACGTGTATTAATTATAAATATTTTATGACTTTTTTTTGTATTTGTTCTTAGCGAAATGCAAAAAATATTCATTTAGGATTATAAATATTTAATATTTCATAATTATTAAAACGCATACGAAATACAAACTAACAATAACAATAACAAGAACAAGAAGAGTAGAAAAACAAAAAAAACAAAAAAAACGAAAAATCGAACACACATATAAATGTAAAAGAAACATTAATAAAAATGTGAAAAATCGAAGAGAAAATTGTATGGAAAAATTGTTTATATTTTAAGTGCTATAAGTGTGCAACAATAAAAACTTTTATGAATTAATTCACTTGCTTCAACTTAATTTCATTTGTTGCTCGGCATTTTCATTCTGTGAATTGAGGGCTTTCAATTGATTTACGGCCGGGTATCGGCTGCGTGGGTGGATGTAGGGGGCGGATGGGGAGGGGGGTTGTGCGAGCTAACTCGACCCTGAAGATTGAGAATTGAATCTTTGGGCCGATATTTATGGCAAGCGCTACCAGGGAACGTGTCTAATTATATTCCATGGAAGCAAATGTTTTGCATTTTTATTTATTTATTTATTTGTTTTGTGAAATTTATGTAGATGTTAGCTGACGATTGACCTAGGACGGATATCTTATATGTTTATCTTTCGGAAATCCGATTTGGCAAACAAATTGAATGCTCTTAAAATGGTTAAATGAACATGGCACTCAGATAAAGTCATATGCCTGATCCGGTTTGACTTGTTGCGACGCAAATCGAGTTTGTTTCCGATAATCGATAACTTACTCCGTTTGCAAGCAATCGATAAAAATCGATATCAATATCCTGTTTCTTGGGCGATTTTGGTAAATAATAAGAGCTAGAGTCACGGAACATGATATGTTGCTTCTACAATATTATATATTTGTCAAGTATCTTTCATTTTATACCTATCGCCACCTCTCCGCTACCATGCGTGCGGATCCCTACCATCAATTGGCATTCAAACAAATTAAACATCGATGGGTTCAATGTTAAAGACAAAAAAACCATTAGTTCATAAAGACAGCCTTTTCGATGATATTTTGGAATATTTCGGTCAAATAATGTCCGATTTAGGAATTTTATACCATTTTTGACTCGTAAGGATCAGTTCTATCGATTGGCATCAAAAAAAGGAAACCCACAATTTTGACCCAAATCGACAAAATGGCAAGGGGTTACATCACGTTTTTTTTTTTCAAAATCGAGGTCGATGCGAAAATCGAACTTTTTCTATGATTTTTTTTAATATCTCGGGTAATAACTCCGCGCGGAGATATGACGTTCCAAAACGACGGAACTCCGCGCGGAGATATGACGTTCCAAAACGACATAGCTCCCCGCGGAGATATGACGTTCCAAAACGACATAACTCCGCTTGGAGATATGACGTTCCGAAACGACATAACTCCCCGCGGAGATATGACGTTCCAAAACGACATAACTCCGCGCGAAGATATGACGTTCCAAAACGACATAACTCCCCGCGGAGATATGACCTTCCAAATCACCACGTTTTTTTTTGCGAAAATCTAAACTTTTTCGATGATTTTTTTTTAATATCTCTGATAAATAATGTCTGATTTTAAAATGTTATACCTTTTTGAATGCGTACGGATCCCTACCATCAATTGGCATTCAAACAAATTAATCATCGATGGGTTGAAAAATGTTATTGACAAAAAACCGATTCGTTCGTAAAGTCAACCTTTTTGATGATATTTTGGAATATTTCGGTCAAATAATGTCCGATTTAGGAATTTTACACCATTTTTGACTCGTAAGGATCAGTTCTATCGATTGGCATCACAACAAGGAAATCCAAAATTTTGACCCAAATCGACAAAATGGCAAGGGGTTACAATATATTTTTTTTTTGTTCAAAATCGAGGTCGATGCGTAAATCGAAACTTTTTCGATGAGTTTTTTAATATCTCGGGTTATAGGTCCGCGCGGAGATATAACGTTCCAAAACGACGAAACTCCGCGCGGAGATATGACGTTCCAAAACGACATAACTCCCCGCGGAGATATGACGTTCCAAAACGACATAACTCCGCGCGGGGATATGACGTTCCAAAGCGACATAACTCCGCGCGGAGATATGACGTTCCAAAACGACGGAACTCCGCGCGGAGATATGACGTTCCAAAACGACGGACACCGCGCGGAGATATGACGTTCCAAAACGACATAACTCCCCGCGGAGATATGACGTTCCAAAACGACATAACTCCCCGCGGAGATATGACGTTCCAAAACGACATAACTCCCCGCGGAGATATGACGTACCAAAACGACATAACTCCCCGCGGAGATATGACGTTCCAAAACGACACAACTCCCCGCGGAGATATAACCTTCCAAATCACCACGTTTTTTTTTGCGAAAATCTAAACTTTTTCGATGATTTTTTTTAATATCTCGGGTAAATAATGTCTGATTTTAAAATGTTATACCTTTTTGAATGCGTACGGATTCCTACCATCAATTGGCATTCAAACAAATTAATCATCGATGGGTTGAAAAATGTTATTGACAAAAAACCGATTCGTTCGTAAAGTCAACCTTTTTGATGATATTTTGAAACATTTCGGTCAAATAATGTCCGATTTAGGAATTTTATACCATTTTGGACTCGTAAGGATCAGTTCTATCGATTGGCATCAAAAAAAGGAAACCCAAAATTTTGCCCCAAATCGACAAAATGGCAAGGGGTTACATGATATTTTTTTTTGTTCAAAATCGAGGTCGATGCGTAAATCGAAACTTTTTCGATGAGTTTTTTAATATCTCGGGTAATAGCTCCGCGCGGAGATATAACGTTCCAAAACGACGGAACTCCGCGCGGAGATATGACGTTCCAAAACGACATAACTCCCCGCGGAGATATGACGTTCCAAAACGACATAACTCCCCGCGGAGATATGACGTTCCAAAACGACATAACTCCCCGCTGAGATATGAAGTTCCAAAACGACATAACTCCGCGCGGAGATATGACGTTCCGAAACGACATAACTCCCCGCGGAGATATGACCTTCCAAATCACCACGTTTTTTTTTGCGAAAATCTAAACTTTTTCGATGATTTTTTATTAATATCTCTGATAAATAATGTCTGATTTTAAAATGTTATACCTTTTTGAATGCGTACGGATCCCTACCATCAATTGGCATTCAAACAAATTAATCATCGATGGGTTGAAAAATGTTATTGACAAAAAACCGATTCGTTCGTAAAGTCAACCTTTCTGATGATATTTTGGAACATTTCGGTAAAATAATGTCCGATTTAGGAATTTTACACCATTTTTGACTCGTAAGGATCAGTTCTATCGATTGGCATCAAAAAAAAGAAATCCAAAATTTTGACCCAAATCGACAAAATGGCAAGGGGTTACATGATATTTTTTTTTTTGTTCAAAATCGAGGTCGATGCGTAAATCGAAACTTTTTCGATGAGTTTTTTAATATCTCGGGTAATAGCTCCGCGCGGAGATATAACGTTCCAAAACGACGGAACTCCGCGCGGAGATATGATGTTCCAAAACGACGGAACTCCGCGCGGAGATATGACGTTCCAAAACGACATAACTCCCCGCGGAGATATGACGTTCCAAAACGACGGAACTCCGCGCGGAGATATGACGTTCCAAAACGACATAACTACCCGCGGAGATATGACGTTCCAAAACGACATAACTCCCTGCGGAGATATGACGTTCCAAAACGACATAACTCCCCGCGGAGATATCACCTTCCAAATCACCACGTTTTTTTTTGCGAAAATCTAAACGTTTTCGATGATTGTTTTTTAATATCTCGGATAAATAATGTCTGATTTTAAAATGCTATACCTTTTTGAATGCATACGGATCCCTACCATCAATTGGCATTCAAACAAATCAATCATCGATGGGTTTGTAAGTGTTGTTGACAGAAAACCGATTCGTTCGTTAAGTCAACCTTGTTGATGATATTTTGGAATATTTCGGTCAAATAATGTCCGATTTAGGAATTTTATACCATTTTTGACTCGTAAGGATCAGTTCTATCGGTTGGCATAAAAAAAATGATGTCCAAAATTTTGACACAAACCGACAAAATGGCATGGGGTTACATCACGTTTTTTTTCAAAATAGAGGTCGGTGTGAAAATCGAAACTTTTTCAATGATTATACCCTGAACCCTTTAAAAATGGGTATAAGGGCATATTGTATTTGTGCAAAATCCAAATGTATGTAACAGGCAGAAGGAAGCATCTCCGACCCCATAAAGTATATATATTCTTGATCAGCATCAATAGCCGAGTCGATCTAGCCATGTCCGTCTGTCTGTCCGTCCGTACGTCCGTATGTATGAACGCAAAGATCTCAGAATATATAAGAGCTATAGACTTGAAATTTTAGATGGGGCAATTTTGGTAAATATTAAGAGCTAGAGTCACGAAACATGATATGTTGCTTCTAAAATAGAATATATGTATGCATTTGATGTTAGAAGAAGAGGGTTCAGGGTATCCCCTAGTCGGGAGCTCCCGACTAGAACATCCTTCTTGATTTATTTTAATTTGTTTAACTCTCTGTGGTTAAATTGGGATATAGCCATATTGATTCAATTGATTCAAAAATATGAGGCCGATCTTTAAGTATGCCAGATACACATCTTTAGTAGAAGCTACTCTCCCTCTCTCTCTATTTATCGCTCTTACTATGTGGCACCATAAAGTCTGTGACAATTGCGCGATCTGCCACGCCCATACCTCATACAGCCTATATATATATATATATATATATACGACATATATATATATATATATTGAACATGGGGGCGCAGTGGGCATGTGCATGCAACGGGAACGCGACAGGCAGGAAACGTCTTTCAATGGAAATGAAAACGAAAATGGAAATGCAAATGGAAATGAAAATGGAAATGGGCAGCAAGACAGAGATATGCCCCCACTATGCCCAGGCCCAGGCAATCCAAGCGCGTCTACCCCTATCTTTGGTATCAGCTGAGCTGACAAAGTTGCTCTCATGGGCGAAATTTGCATTTTGCATAATGCATTTGAAATTTTTCATTTTTTTCCATTTTGCATTTTGTATTTGTTGATTAACATTGAAAATGGAAATGGCAAGCGACGAACGCCTTTGAATTTATTAATGTTGCTTTTGCAGCTTGTGCAGTTACACAATTAAATGCTTGTAAAGGCAACAACATTATTGTTGTTGTTGCTGTTGTTGGCACATCAAAGCGCGCGTTTGGTTTGACCAAGGCATAATAATAATATAATAAAAAATAAAATGGCGATGCGCCGACTGAAAAACGCGAAAACATTTCTAATGAAAATCCCAAGACAACAACAGCAACAACCACAACAACAACAATCGACACCCATTGGCTATTCAATGCACGAGCTGTCAGACTTTCTTGTTTGTTGCTACTGCTGTTGTTGCCGCGGTTTTTGTTGCTGTTGCTGCTGCTGTAGGTTTGCCAATGCTGCCCCCTTGTCTTGACTGCCCAACAGAAATTAATTAGCTGCGACGTGGCATAAATTAGCAAAAACTGAAAACCAAATACGAAGCGTCGAACACTCGTAGTCTCCCGCATGTCCAACGCTGGCTACCAACCACGAATCGACTGGTCTTCTATGCTATATAGTCCATGGGCCGTACAACTGGCGATCATACAGACAATCCTCATTTAATTCCAAAGACAAAATGAAAGCGCAGCCTCGTTGATTTGTAGCTGATAGCCTTATTGCCTTGTATTATCGCTGGGCTCGTATCTCTGGCAATTGTAAGGGAGAAGCAATGTCTAAGCCAGGGTTTCCTCGAGTAAATGTGAAATTCCAGCATGCCAAACCATTTGGCAACCTAGTTTTAATTATAATTTTTCCTATATATTTGTGTAAAACGTTACCGACTACAATATACACCGTAGATTTCTAGATTTTATAGTATTTCATAAGATTGAATGCATGAAATCTAAATTTGTAATTACATTTATATTAGTATGATAAATATAATATTTGTGTATGCTTTATATAGCTAGAAATGTGTGCAACTGTATGTGAATATCGTATATTATAAGGAGCAGTTATCTTGTATTCTTCCCTTGAAAATACATGTACTTATTCCTAAGTTAAATGAATATAAATAATAAAAGATCTATTTAACAATGAAAAAACCGTCAATTTCATGTTTGGCAACAGGTCGATTACAGGGCATTAGGCAGTTTATCAGCTTGCTTATGCGTTCCGGACTCGAGTGGAAGGTGGAACTGGCACAGCAAATGCCAATTGCCATGTGGCATGTGGCATGTGGCACGACGCTGCTGCTGTGCTGAGCTATTGTGGCACATGCCACAACTCATTTCGTGTATTTTAAACATGCGACACGAAGGCGGCTGCATTGTCACAGCTGCCCCAAGATGCTATGCTGACTGCCACTGCCACTGCAACTGGGCTGCACTTGAAACTGATAAAGCGTGGAGGAGGATCATAAAAAAACGAAAGCGGAAGGAAGTGAACATCGGGCGCGAGCAATTGAAATACAAGAACCACTTGAAGCGCTGTGCAGCTGCTGCGCTGCGGTCGCCGAGGGGGCTGCAAGGGCGTGCCCATTAATCCAAATCGTGTCGAGCTGTTGCTGTTGCTGTTGCTGTGGAACGTGATTGCCAATCGATTGATGTAGTCGAAATAGCGCCAAGAACGCGTCTATTGAATGGAATTGTTGATGGCAGCAGCGTTTTGGCCATGAGCGTACGCCTGCCATGCCCAGTGGGTGTGGATATGGGTGTGGGGGCTAGTTTCGAGTTTCATTCACAAAGCGAAAACGTCGCCACATTGGAATGCGACAGGCGTTCGCTTTTTGTGAAAGGAGTAGGGGAGGGGGCTATTAATTAGCCAACGCTGCCAAAATTGGTGGCGCAGCAGCGTTTGATACACTTTGGCATATCGATTGGGCCTCACGATTTTGGACGTTGCGTTTCCGCTGGCCGAGAAACGAGCGACACGGCGGAAATACGAGAATTGCAAAATGTGCCGTGCGCTGTGGCTTTGGTTTGTTTTTATCATTAAATCACACAAAGTCTATAATTATTCATGAATTGTTTAAACAATTTAAATGCATTACGCGCGTTGGCAACAGCGCGAATTCGAAGCATCCCGAAACGGATGCTGCGCCAGGAAATGATCAACGAGCGCTTCCTGTGCTCAACCCTTATCGTTAGATTGGCTTGGCTGCCACTCGGACAATTAAAATAAATGGAAATTCTAGAATTTCCCACGTTCCGAGTGAAATTGAGAGCCCAAACTGGTCTGAACAATAAATGTGTTTATTAGGCATGCAAAATATATTAAAATATGGCAAAAAAGGCAACAAAATATGTTGCATTGTATTTAAATGTATTAATTCCAGATATACGCTTTCGAATGCGCCTAGATCAAAAAAATATGTTTATATACATATATCTACAATATTTATTTCAATTCAAATTTATTATTTAATAGTTATATGAATACTCCTGCGCAATAAATAAATAATTATAATAAATTTAATGATTTAGTAAATGTTTGCATTTATGCATATTTATAAACTTTATAATCGACCATAAATAATGAAATATACTTTAAAATTGAATTAAGGAAGTTTCCTCTTTTGGCTGGGCATTCGTGCTATTCCTGCCCATATTTACCAAATACAAATGCAATCGATTATTGTGGAGCAAGATTCAAGAAGCTTTTAAATCCATGTTTGCAATCACGAAAACGAAACAGATGTAAGCTCAGGTGTTTGTTGATTCGCTATGCAATTTAGGCTCGGATTGCGTACTTTTTAAGCTTCTTTCGTTGGGCGTCACGTGGACGCAGAACGGTGCGTGTCTCCGCTTAGCCGGTGCACACATTCGTTAAGCAAAGACCGTGACACTTGTCAGCCAAGACACAAACTGCTGGAACATGTGGGAATGAAACGGAAGTAAGCTTTAGTGTTGGATAATTTGCTAAAGGACATCGAAAATCTCTGAACGAATCTTTAGGTCTTTGCGGAGTCTATGTCCTTTTCAATGAGTTAGAATAAAATTTGATAAGTTTTAAAATCAATGCTTAGACACACGGAAATCAATTGAAAACATATTTAAGCGCTTGATAATTTTCTAAAGGACCTTAATATGCGGTTAGTGTACTTGCTTAATTTTTTTCGGATTGCGTCATGCGCACTTTGTAAGGTGCGTTTCTCCACTTAGTCCGAGCACACATTCGTTAAGCAAAGACCGCTACACTTTCATCCAAGACATGAACTGATTCTACACTTGGAAAAGGAACTGAAATTAGCTAAAGGGTTGGGTTATTCGCTAAAGAGCTTTGAAGCTTGGGTTGTGTATTTGCTAAGCTTTTTTAGTTAGGAGTTTGAAGGTGCGTATCCCTGCTTAGCCCAGACACACATTCGTTAAGCAAAGACTACATTTTCTAGCCGAGTTACGAACTGAACGAATCTTATAATAACTTGAGGATAATATAATATAAGTTGATACTTATAACGTACATATATCGTAAAAGACAATTACATATATCGTAAAAGATAATTAAGAATCAACTAGTTTTATAATTTACCATATATGCTAAACCTTATCGCATATATGTTATATTTAAACTCTTAAACCAAATTTATATTTTATATTATTGCTATTCTATATGTATATGTAAAGATGTATATACCATATATATTTACAAATGTACAATCATTATGTTCAAGCATGTATGTGTACTTCTACAGAATTTGTATGTAAAGGTTTATGTGTGCATGTACGTGTATGTACATATGTGCGTATCTGAAGTGTCTGAGAGTATGTGTATGTCTATGTGTCTATGTATGTGTGCGTACGTCTGCATGTGTGAACGAATAGGTGTGTATATACATGCGTGAATGTGTAAGCTTATGCTTGCATGCCTCATTGTGTGCATGTCTGGGTATGCACGTAGTTAATCCGATAGATTGATGAACAGGCGACACACATCGGAGCTGGTGCACGGAGTGCGACATTGTGGACAGTGCCGATAATGCTCGAGAGATCTCAGTATACAGCTCTCGCCGTAGATGTGGCCGCATGGCAGTGCGACGAGCCGATGTTCCCCAGCATCGGTCCACTGCAGCAGGCACACCGAGCAGGACATAACGGTATCCATGGTGCGCAGCATCCTGTCGAGGGTTAGCTCCAAATCGACGCGCTTTTGCGACTCCTGTGCCATGTCGTTGCTGAATGCTCGAGTAAGTGCATCAATAGTGGCGACCGTTTCCTGCAACTGGATGCGCAGCTCCTCTCGGACCTTGTCCTTTTTGTTCAATTGGTTCTGCAACACGGCTAATGTTGCGATCGTCTTCAGTTGTGGCGGCTCAGTCTTCACCGCCAAGCGGGCGTGAATCTGCTGACCTTGCTCAAGCAGAAGATCCAACTGTGTCTTCAAGCTGGCGAACGGCGCACCACCCAGCAGGGTGCGGAAATAGCCCTCCACCTTCTCGAATGAGGCCGCCAACAGCGTCTTCTCCAAATTGGTTTTCGACAACTCCATCTTCACATTTCCAAGCTCGGATTTCAGCGCACTGCACTCCACTGTCAGCTGCTCCATTTTCTCTTTAAGGTCGGCGTTTTGTTGAGCCAAAGTCGGGCGCAGACGTCGACGCTTGGCCGATGGAGCCTGTTGTTCTGCTTGTTTTTGTTGTTCTTGTTGTCGATCATCTGGATTATCACCCGAGTCCATTTTTTATTTGCGCTACGCATTTTCGATATATTTATGAGAAATATTTAACAAAATAAGTATAAATAAATAATGAAAATAGAAGAATAAAATACAAATTTGGAAACTTACGGAGGTCTTCAACCGACTAAGCAGAAAATTGTAATGAGACCTGAGCAAGATGCAGACCCCAGCTTCCGAAAAAAAGCTCCAGTATTGCCAGGCAAATTAAAAATTAAAGAACAAAAATTTAATTAATTGAAAGAACCCATTTTGGATGTTGGAAATGTTGGGAAGACTGTCTTGTCAGTCTTGTGACCAGTCACCAGTCAGTGTGACCATTTTTTAAATTTCAAATTCAAAAAGCCACGTCAGCTAACTAATCTAATGGCAATTGAACGGGAAAGGGGATGCAACTTTGGTTTCTATAATTGCATTGCATTCAATCCAAACTCAAACGCCGGAGAGCGTAGTAGGGAACCCTTATTCCTCAGACTCAAGCCTTGTGGGTTTTGTCGCCAGCCGTTTGGCGTCAGGTGGCGAAATTAGCGCGATTTCCGCCGCAAGTTTCTGGGGCCGGAAAACCCCGTTAACGAGCAAAAACTATGGCAATGGGAACAATGGAAATGCTGGCGACCAACTTGCTAAATCACCAAAATCCGCATCTTTAGCATCTTAACGGCCAATTTAGCGGGTGGCAGCAACAACAACAACAACAAACGATAAGCTGCAGCAATGGATGCACATAAAGGACAACAACTAAGACAAAGCGCAGATAATAATAAAAGATAATAAAACAAACGAAATGTCTGTGTGCGCCATTGGCAAGAAAAAGCCCCCGCCACCATCCCTTTCCATACATCAGGACGCTTCTTGGCCTTGGCTAAGCTAAATAAAAACACTTTGGGGAACAATAGACGCCCTGCCCGCCCGCGCTCTCTCTCTCTCTCTCTCTCTCATCAGCAATCTGAATGTGTAAAAGGCAAAAACTTTGCGCAACACCTCTTGTCGTCCCGTGAGAGCCGCTAGGAGGCAGCCGAAGGAGCCATGGGGCAGGGGCTGTGGCAGACGCCGCTGCTGGGCGTTTGTCATTCTTTTGTAATTTAGCGAGCCCTGGAGCCAGCTCAAACTCCATTTGCCTCCAGCCAGCAAACGCTTCATTATCTACTTGCCGCAACCCCTAGCTCATTGTCTATGCCCAGAGCCCTCCCCTCCGCCCCATTCAGCTCATACAGCCCTCCGCCGCGTTGCTTGTCTAATTTCGCGTGCCGCAACGCACAATTACACCGAGAACACAAGAGAGCAGGCAACGCCACGTCCAGGTGAGCAGTCAGAGCAGCTCAAGGAGGTTCGAGTAAAGGGCAAGAGTTAGTTCCGTATTCTCAATACTCTACGATGCATGCAAATCGTATGAGCTACTTAGATTGGTAATTGTGGATACTCTTCTTTTAAGGATCATCCAGATTGAGTTCCGCTTCGAATTAAAAAGCTGCGAGTTGATTTGAAATTCTGAACACTCCAATACTAAGTAGTAAGTATGTTCTTAAGAGTTATTCAATTAACTCTAACATAGCTCAATTTTACTCCTTCCATTAAGAGATTAAGGATTCTAATTCGTAAAAAATACACTGCGAATAAGATTGAAATCTTAAGAATAGCTTTAATGCTCTTAAATGTCACCCAATTTCACATCATTCTCAACCACTTCTAGTAAGAGATTTGAATACTTGTATTGGTCGTTTAGAATGAAGGGATTTTCTCGTTTGTGTTTCAGTTTAAATACTGGATTTTATTACTTTTGAGTGCTGAATTTCGTGTCGTTGTTTTTCGGTGCAACTTCCAATTGTGTTGACGAGTAGGTTACAAAAGGGATTCCAAAGGTTGGACACTACATATCCAGCTCGCGGCGACAGCTTTGATTTAGTGCACTCTCCAGGCTATTGCGATAGGCAAGCAGTGGTTCCCATCCAGTGGCGCAGCTAGTGCGTCGCTCCCTACTGCTGGTGCCATCGAGATAATTGAGCACATCCAACATATCCTCGGCAAGCAGCTGCGGCACAAACTGCCTGAGCACCTTTAAATAGAGCAGATTCCCAGGCACCTCAGTTGGATCTGTCGACCATTCCGTGGCGTAACGTATGCCAGCGCGATGCAAAATGAGCACAGCCGGACGAGACTTGATAAGGTTCTGGCTCAAAAGATCCCCGAAAAGCCTGGCCATATTGATCAGCTTGGTGAACTGGGCCGAGTCAGCCGCCTGGGCAGGGCTTGCATGGTCTGCTCGAATGCGCTTGTACACCATCAAACATGTGTGCATCAGGGCCATGCCGAAGTTGATCATATTGATGGACATGCATCGCTCCAGGGTGGCATGCAGAATATCACCGAAGGATGCATGAAACTACTTATATATATGGATAACTGGAGGCTTAACAGTGAGTGGATGGAACCTGATCTGCTCACCTGCTCGTAGTACTGGAACACAGCGGAGGCACGCAGCACGGGTATGATATTGTTAAAGGCCAGTTTACAGAAGCCGGCCAGGACGCGACGCTTGCTCTGGAGTGTGGCTAGCATTTGTCCATCGCTGGTCTTGGCGACACTTCCATCTCCGTTGAACACATACCGGAGCACAAATTTCTCCAGCGTTTGCAGCTCGCATGTCGACGACTTGTACTCCAACGAACGAAGCGCATTGTTGCCGCTGCGACGCAGTGTATCCGCGAACAGAACCAAAAGATCACAGGTGGAGACGAAGGCCTGAGGGGAGGGGAGTCAGTGAGCAAGAGACAAGCGGAACATTAATACTCACCTCGCAGCTGATGCTCGTGTCGCTGGAGTATTCAATAATATGAAAGGCGGCTAGGAAAAACTCCTCCAGGTGATCGCCCAGCATAAGGCAGTCCTCGTCCACATACTTGCCAGCGCTGACCGCCTCCTGGACGCGCTTTAGATCCCAACAGATGGCCACATAGTATATCTCCAAGCAGAGTCGCACAGCCTCATCGGGCAGTGAAACCTCCGGTGCTTTGTTCTCATCCCGAATGGCGCGCTTCAGGCTGGCCAGCACGGTGTCCGTTAGCTGATACTCGTGCAGGTCGAATCGTTCGTAGAGTGCCGAGATGAGACGCAGTGCGACAAGTAGACGCTTGTTGCACACTTTGAAGCGGGCATGCTGTGAACTGATAATTGCCTGCTGCCAGGCACTCTCTGCCTTCATGTAGTTGACCACCGCCTTCTCCAGCAGATCCTTGCGATAGTTGGGTATCAGAGCTGAGCACTGCCTGAACAGCTGCTCCAGTGCCGTGGCGCTCTTCTGCAGCACCGCAAAATTGCTGTGCTTGAACATGAGCGATTTGATCAGCTCGATCAGCTCCTGGGCCTGTGCCTGCGAGCAGGTCATGTGCGGTGGCAACTCGAGCAGATTCTTGATATCAACATAATCGATGCGATACTGCCGCAGCAGTGTGGCCAGCGCGGGCAATATAATCTCGGAGGCCTGCTTATTGGCATCTGGCATGGGCTGGCGCAGCAGGGTGTTGGTCGAGCGACCGGGCGGCATTTCGCCGGTTACCGCCTGCTTGACGCCGATTGTCAGGATCTCAATAATCACAGAGGTTTGCTGGCTGGTCAGGTTTTCCGGCTTCAGCAGCATATCCACCATGGTGCTCCAATCGAGTACGATTTGGCTGCGGCCATAGAACGAGTCGACCAGATAGGCGGCGTGCTCCTGTCCCTCGAACTTCATAAAGAACTGCACCAGAGCCTGGACACGTTCACGCTCTGTGGCCGCCTGCTGAAAGCGATGGTGCAGCAGCTCCGCCGATGCCTGGGCTACGCCCCGTTTGGTGGCAAACACCAACTGCTCAATGATCTCAATCATCTGCACATCGAGCAGCTGCGGCATCGCCCTGTGGTAGCGTACCAGCAGCTGTATGGCCATCTCGGACAGTTCGGACTCGGACCGCATGCTCAGGTTCAGGAGCGTCGTTCGGAATTTGTAGCCCAGCTGGAGGCAATTGAGCCGCAGCTTTGGCTTCTTCTGCAGATTGATGAGCGCCCGCAGGCTGGACTCGCACACCTTCCGGGAGCTATCCTGCAGCGCCTCGAACAGATGCTGAGCTTGCATCGGATTGATGTAGCACTGCGGAAACTTGTGCAGCCAAAGGCCACACTCGGTAATGCACAAAAGACGTATGTCCTCGACCTCATCCCGCCTCCGCTTGAGGAACACCTCGTCGAACATCTGCATCCACAGAGTGCGTAGCTTGTCCTGCTGCAGCGTCATCAGATCGCTCAGCGTTGTCATCATCTTGAGTGCTGCAAGGACATGGTACTGTACCCGAAGATCGTGTATTTGAATAGATCTAAGCGTGTCTCCATACCAATCAAGGTGCTGGTATGCCGCAAGGGTAGCACGTCCGAATCTGATGCGACCACCAAAAAGCCAGAAATGTGCCTCAGAAAGCAATTATCCAATATGATGGCCGTGCTTATCACAGCGTGCAGCAGCTGCTGTACAAAGTGGGTCACGTCCATGGTTAGGGCGGGCGACGCACGCATCCTCAGCGGATAACGAGGGCTCTTCTGTATATAAGAACAAAGATTTTATACTAAGTATAAATTTTAAGATTTAGCATTGTCAGCAGCAGATTAGATACTCTACACTCTATACGAGTTAATTATTTGACTTAGCCGAAAGCTTCATAAGGTTTTTAAAAACTTAAAAGTAAATCCTTTTTCTAAGTGAACAAATTTAATAACCGTTCAAAATTATAGCTTCAAATATAGATCAATTTACTTACAACTAAAAACAAGTGAAACAAATTTAAGAAAATATAAACTTTTTAAAAATTATAATCTCCAATTTTTTTTTAATATAAATACAAATTTAAAGAAGTGATAGAATTCATCAGCTACAATTAAGAAAAGTTAAAAAAAATGGTTCAAGTTTCATTAATAATTAAAAGCTTAAATGTCATTGCCCTAGTAAAAGGCATGTTAAATAGTTGCTACTAATAAATTTTAACTAGAGTACTAAATTATCGCCCGCTAACCTATGTAATAAAAACTGATTAATTAAATGAAGCTTTTATCAGATATGAAAGAATTTCAAGAAGAATATTTCCAGCAAAAGTAAATATTATCTAGACGGAACAATGTTATGCAGTAAAACAGCTTACGTTTTCGAATTGGCCATTGGCCGCGTTTAGAATTTTGGCATTCTTCAATGGAAGATTTGAATCCTCGGGTATTTGATAGCCGCTGCCGCTGGCCTCTAAGACGAACTGCATGAACTTAATGAGCGCCGCTTCCGGCTTGGTTACGTAGAGCTGAATCCACTCGCTGCAAATGTCCTAAATAAAATTATATAAATAAAGAGAAAACAAACATCAAAAGCATTTCGATAGCGTTGAACGAATTCAATCTTTTAGCAAATCAAAATGGTGGCCAATTGTTGAGGTTAGGTTCAGCATTTTGATTTGCTTTCCAATCGTACCTCCATATTTTGATTCTTATTGCGCACAAGCTGCAACAAGCTGGTCTCCAGCTCTTCATCGCTTGATGTCATCTCGAAGTCATCCTCCAGATTCTTGTTGCTGTTGCTTTCCTCGGAGCTGTAAAAAGCACCACGTAGATTTGTAGACGACACGAAGTTTTTCATGTGATATTTGCTTTACCTGTCTGGGATATTTATAAGTTCGATTTCCTCGGCTGCCTCGGTTGCTGTCTCAATTTCCTCCTCAATATTGCTCATTTTTGCTTTGAGACTCTTAATTTCTCGGCAGCGAACACGAAATAATCACCGTGAAAGACTTTTGCCAAGAAGCACGTGCGAAACTCCGGAATAGAGCCTGCAAAAGAAGACACAGTGCTGCCCATCTTGTGCACGCTAGAGATGAGCGCTGGCCGTGATTCGATACTGTGCGTCGAAGAAGAAGACAAAGTAACGAGACGTTGCACAAGGCAAGCTCACTAAATTCCTATGCCAAAGTATCGTTGGAAGAAAAATAACTACTTGTTCGAAAACTGATTAGATCTCTGTCATTGAGACGCATATTTTTCGGCTAATTTGGTTAGAAGTCTCTTAGAACCAGAAGACCAAGTCTACAAATCAGCTGATTCAAATTGCTTTGCTGTTTTTGTGCTCACTTCTATCATAGCAGGCTTTCGTTGTGTTTCGGAAATGATTTCAGAGCAAATTCGACGTGAAAACTTCACTTTTAGTTACAATCTCATAGTGAACACATCACAAAAAAAAATCAATCTAAAAAATTCAAAACATAAATTTTCTTAAAAAATTTTGCGAACAAATTGTGAAAGTGTAGGTGCGTTGATTATTATTGGATATATACATAGAATTTCTGATTGACAAAAGGCTCTGCGAGGTGGATTGACCATCCGTACTTATAATTGCTGTTATATTCTTGGAGCATTGTGGGGTGAGTGCCGAACGGGCACCTTGTTGCTCCATTATTTCTCATTCACTATTTATTATTAGCTGCATCAGTTCCATATTGTTTGGGGGAGGGAGGGCAAGGACTTGTGATGTCACCTAAAAATCTGATTTTGTTTATTAAAGCTGCTTTACAAATGCCACGACATTCTGAATATTCAGTATTAACTGGAACTGTATTTCGACGGAAGGTTTCCAGTCTCAAAAAAAATGTATCCCCCAGCTGCTCAGCTGCCTCCTTTTCGACTATATATACATATTGACTTTACCCTGAACCCTGTGGCTCTTGACTAAATGCCACTTGATATTGGCTAAGAGTAAAGGATTTTGCCAAATTGGAATATTTTTCTGTGAAACAGACGCCCTTTCATTATGCGCCCCCAATCCCTAAGATGTTTAGCCAAATTGCATATCCATTTGCATTTCTGGCTGGTTTGGAGAGCCTGCGGAAAGTGGGCTGCGCTAAGCGCTTAGGCTTCATTAGCTGCATTTTTCTGCGGGCGGCGTTTTCGATTTCCATCGACGTGAAAACGTGGAAAATCGGAAAACCGGAACCCTGATGTGACTGTGTTGAACGGTGTTGATTTTCACACAACACAGCGTGAAATTAGAAATCAACAACGTGTCCTTTCACAGCGTGAGGGTGTGCGGGTGTGTGTGTTGGTGGGGAGGGTTGTCGGGGGCTTGCTGTGCTTCAGGTGCGGCTGGACAAATCAGTTTTGGCTGCAACTGCAACGCTGCGGTCAACGTCTGTCGTTGACAGACCAAATTAAAATGTCCTGACGCCATGTCCTGCCATCATCTATCGTTGCGTTCCATCTGTCTGCCTCGCTCGTTGCTGTGTCTGACCGTGCTTCAGTTAATGACCAATTTGCCAGGCCCAGTCGAAAGCCAACCTCAACCTCAGCCTCAGCCCAGTCGGTTAGCTTCTCCAGCCAGCAGCAGCTGTCGCAATTCGCGTTTCGGATTTGGTTAACACAACGTCGCATTCATCAGACTCTATAGCTACAATGCGATAAATCTTAAAGTTACCAAAAATTGGCAAGCAAACAAAATGCGGGCCAGATAAGCACAACGACATCAACAACAACAATAACAACAACAACAACAAGACAAACAACGACAGCAACAAAAACAACAAACACGAACAAGCAACAACAAACAATTGCTTGGAGAATTACAACATGTCGCATTTTGTATACGAAATTTGAATAAATTTCAAATTCGTGAGGCTCCGCCAAAAAGTTTCAGCTCTCAGCTACAATTAACTTTTAAGTATACCATTTTACAGATACCGCTGATATCGTCGAGATATGCAGCCTACCCTCCCCCACCCCACCCCGTGCCGCGCTTCTGTTCAAGTCCATGGCCTGCATCGGGGGTTGGCAGTTTGAAAATAATTTCATGCAATTTATCATGTCACCAGAGCCACAGCCAGCCACAAACGCAGTTCAAATTGGTCAAACAACGAATTCTGAATGCACTTTCCGTATATTTTTAGTAGAAAAATTTGTCAACAGAAACTTGATATACGATATACGATATACGATATGAAATATATTATGTAGAGGAAATGCAATAAATAGCTTGATGTCAAAATAAAAGAAGAGTGTGACAAAAAAAAAAACAACCTGTAGCACATTCTTATGCTTCCGCTAAAGGCCACAAGATAAACGTTTATTTTCTGTGCTCGATAAATATCGATTTTGGGTGATTGTTAAAAGGACACAAGTGCAAAAGCGATATTTATCGATTGGGGGCTCGACATGTCAAAGGTTTCTTGATGGATGCATATTGTTAGAACGTTTTGTGGCACGTTTGTGAATGTTGATGCTTTCGCTAATGGAGATTCGATACTCGTGTATTTTCTCTGATCGATATTTATCGATGTTGGGAAATATAGCGAGTGACTTCATACCAAGTTCAATAAGAAAGTTTTTACCATTTACAAAGCATGAAGTGGAAGGCTACAATAAGCCCGGTAGCACACATCTGATGAGAATTTATCAATGCTTGGGTGCTTTGTGAGTTTTAAATTCCCAATTGGTTAAAGCGCCAATTCAGAGAAGTTGCTGCTGATAACAGTCCGGCTGACATAGTCAACATGCCGCAACGATGGTAGTGTGTGTGAAAGAACAAAAGTGCGTGCGATTTCCGCTTCCGCTGTTTGGCATCCATAACGAATTTTTGCATAAATACAAAGCAGGACAGCAACGCCTGGAACCACTGTGGTTGCTACTATTAAGCTTATGCTGTTTTTGTTAATAGCCAACCATTTATCTTGCTTAATGAAATTTGCGAAAAATCAAATGTTGAGCGCAGCATGTTGGAAACATTTTGGGCCGTTATTAGCCGCTGCATTGCTTTGAAGGGCTCCTTGAGGCCAGGGCTAATCCACTGCGCCCACATCCTGAACTCTTGCTGTCAATGTGGATGTCAGCGTCACGTGGCGCATAGCCGCAGCGATTCCCTGACTTGAGTCCAGTTCAAACCCCTCCCAACCCCACCATCACCGTCTCCCTCGGCATGGCCTTGCCGACTTGTTCTCTTTATCATTCATGAACCGCGCGCGTCACGTGCGCAATTAAATTGACGCATTCTTGACGGATTCGTTTTGAGGCAGCCAGCCTTGCCAGCCTTGCCAGCCAAGCACATCTCCCTTTTGACTTCTGCTAAAGAGCGACCAGGGAATTGGCCATGAGCCGGGACAGCAACCACTTGCGTGGCCAGCGTCGCGTTGACATCATTAATCACATGAAAATTGTATTCCTGCTGTGGCCTGTGACAACTCTTCAAAGGAGACTTTCAAATTGTTTCACTTTTGTGGCTTTCTTTGTGGAAGTTTAACAAAAGGAAAACAAAACAACAAAATTAGCATCTTTTGTAATTTATTAGAAGTCAGGTTAAGCATAAGCTGGAAAGACTGCTAATCAAAGAAGTCGAAGTTAGGGTTGTTCAGATCGTTTCAGGCAATTTTTGAGCTGAAAAGCTTCTGCCAGAGTTGCCAGACTTGAGGCACTTTAATGTGGGTAGTGTGGCAGTACGACGCAACTAGTGTTGCACTATATGACAGCGTTTTGGGGAATTTCGCGAGCGATTGGGAAAAATTGGTGGACAATGGCTATATACAACATTTGACGGCCCTTAAAGATCTTTGAGGAAGTGGAAGTATTTTCGCATTTGTCATAAAATCCCCCTTGTTTGAAGAAATAATAATAATAATAATAAAAATAAAAATAATAATAATAATAATAATAATAATAATAATAATAAAAATAATAATAATACTAATACTAATACTAATACTAATACTAATACTAATACTAATACTAATACTAATACTAATACTAATACTAATACTAATACTAATACTAATACTAATACTAATACTAATACTAATACTAATACTAATACTAATACTAATACTAATACTAATACTAATACTAATACTAATACTAATACTAATACTAATACTAATACTAATACTAATACTAATACTAATACTAATACTAATACTAATACTAATACTAATACTAATACTAATACTAATACTAATACTAATACTAATACTAATACTAATACTAATAATAATAATAATTAATATTCTTATGGAAAGACCCTACTGGATTTGTCTTGGATTTAAAACATGGCTTATAGTCGTGTATATAATATTAATAATAAGATTGATTTTGTTTTAAGTTGTGATTGGGCTAGTATTAGTCCGTAGGTAAGACGCAAGGGCAACATTTTAAGCGGTACCTCAAGTAGATTTAGGTCCGTGGAGCATGGAAACACGATCTAGAGTTGCTACATTAGATATATACTTTAAACCGTGGATCAGAGGTTAACATTAAATTTGGTGGAGTATTTGCCAGCAAATTGGCGAGAGGCGTTGTGTGGGGAGCCGAAACAGCAGTGAACCCTGTTGTTGTCGTTGTCCGAGCACATTTCAGGTCCAAGCGTAACTAAACATTTGGATTAGGCGGCGTCGGCGAACTCTGGCGTACGATGGGCTTGTGTAGGGCGGTGCGATGCGGGGTAGTATAAGTAAGGGGCGGCAGGGCGCTTTTGGACAGCCACAAAAACCGCTAAGCAGTCAGCGGCGCCAAATGCAAACAGTTTAAATGTCATTTGTGGCGTTTGCCGGCGCTGCTAGCAAATGGGGAAATGGAATATTTCCACGTGTTGGGCTTAAATAAATTTCGCGGCAAAGCGCAAAAGGGCATCTCACCCCCCGCGCAATCTACCCGTCTCACTAAACCATACAAACATTTGAAATGTTTCAATGGCGAATGCGAGCCGCAATTGGCAATCGAC